AGCTCACCCTAAAGAGGGTGATATGTGAATAGAGACTTTGTATTGAGATCTTGTAAAGAACTCAATGGGGGTAGATTCTCTTTTAAACTTTGATAGATAGTATATTATCTCGTTGGGGGTAGATTCTTTTGCTGATTCTGAAAGAGGATAAATTCTCTCACCTTTATTAAATTGTTATTTTTGTAGAGAAGTTTTGGTGAATAAATTTTGGAGGTGGACTCCTCATTTTTCCTTCTTTTTTTTCTAAGCCCTGTTCTCTAGAGACTCATCTGCAAATTAAGGTGCTGATTTGTGAAAAAGAAACAACCCTAATTTGCATCACAATTCTAGAGAGAGGGGGTTCTGATATTCATAATGTTGGGGTTTGGGATTTTTCTGCTGAGTAGAGAATCTAGACAGAGAAACTGAGGCTCTATCTTAGTAAAATATGTTGCGACCGGCTCATCACTTTCAATGATTCAGTTGAGTTCATGTCAAAGTTTGAAGGCCTTGATATGGCAGGGCACCCGCATCCATTCTCCTTTCTCACACTGCAATTAGAGAGAGAAATTACTTTTAGAGAAAGAGACTCTCATCATTCTCGAATAATAAATACATTGACAAAACATGGCCCACAATCGTTGAATTTGATGCTGAAAAATCTGTATCATAAGGCTTGAATGCCATTTTATGTAAAACAATAAATAAAGATAGCTATTTCCATGGATGCAGTGTAAGAAATGAGCTGAGAGGCTTGAGAGCGATTTTGTGCCAAACACTTAATAATGTAGAGAGGCAGAGCGCTAAGGTTGTAATTGTTCTTAACTACAAGAAATAGATACCATATTTGTATATCGAGAAAGAGAGTTCAAAAGAGTAATGTCCATCCATTTAAGAAACACAGACGAGAAATACCAAGAGTGAGAGACATAACAGGCAGAGAGAGAGAGAGAGCTTGAGGTAGAGATAGAGAGAGGGGTTGGGGTAGAGAGAAAGAGAGGGGGAAATAGAGGTGTATCTCAAATTAGGGGAGAGAGATGGTGGGTTTGGGGTTGCTTGGGCACGAGAGAGAGAAAAAGAGATGAATGTGGGTGTCTTTACAGGATATGTTTAGGCCAAAAAGGTTGGTCAAAATGATATTTATATAGATAAAAACAGTTAGGGGGTTGAAAGATAGAAAAATGACATAGTTAATGCCGCTAGAAATGTTTAATACGAAATTAGGGTCTACAGTAAAATTTTCCCAAAATTAATAATGGACTAGACGCTTTCTCTTTCTCAATTAATAATGGGCTACATTTATCTCTCTCCAGGCACTAGGGCTAGCAATGGGCTGTCGGCCCGACCCAATCGATCCGGCCCTAAAAAAATAGGGCTTAGACTATGAATTGGGGCTCGAGGGCCAGGTTAGGGCTAACGTCGGTTGCATTCGGTCCAGCCCCAACTATCTTTTATTTATTTATTTATTTATTTTCTCTTTAATTATTTTTGACTTGGCCCGTCCAGTAGTGGCCATAATAGGGCCAAACATGGGCCTAGTCCGGCCCAATGGGGAAAAGGACCAGGCCCCGCCAGGGCCAAGCAAGGCAAGGCTGGCCCAGCCCGTTGCGACCCTTTTCTCTAGCCATTAATAATAGGCTCAGGCATTGTTTTTCCCCAAAAATTTTGACAGATCATTTTATTAAATAATATTATCGACAAATTATAAAAGGACCCATTTTCTATGCGGCCAAGCCCGCATATATAGAAATGTGGGCCTCTTTAATAAATTTATTTTTGAGATGGATTTTAAGACTAGAACTTTTAAGGACATGTAATCCCTAACATGGAGATCACGAATATGAATAAATAAATAAATTTTTAAAACTAGAAATAACAATTCTAGTAAGAAAACAATTGGGCCGTTAGTTTCTATTGTTTTTTAGATAGAACACCTATTTGCATCTTTTTAAAAGGGAAAGACTTCTATGCTTCCCAAATAGCATAGATGTTCTATCATCGCCCTACCTTCCAACCGTCCAATTTTGATCAAGAGAGCCACTCACCATTTGATCTTAGATCCGACGTCTCAAAGTATTTTTAGTTCTTTTTGTACAAATTGTATGAATATAAAATTTGGTACGTGCCATCTTCTCATTGAAGCGCACCTATAAAAAATATTAAAAAAAACTTTTCTATAAGTGCCTCGATTTTTCTTAAAAATGTAATTTTGGTAAAAAAATCCAAAAAAAACTCAAAAAATCTCAAAAAAATTATAAAAAATATTTAAAATTTACATGTATTTTTTTTTGTCACATAAAATAGGCAAAAAAATAAATATTATAAGCATAATTGGGTTTCGAAAAAAATGATTAGGCACCTGAAGCAATACTTTTTCAATGATCAATATATAATAAATATATATATAATATGTAATCAATCTGTACTATAAAATATAAATTATATTAATAAAATAAATATAACTACATAATATATAATATAATATTACATAATATTATAATATTTCAACCCAAGACTATGTTTGTTTTTTTGGGTATTTTGAAAATTAATTAAAAATGTAGGTAAAATATAAAATTGTTCTTACCTTTGTGACAATTTTGATAAATTTTCATCTTTCTCTAATATCGGTCTATGTGCCCCTTGGACGTTGGTTGTAGGTATTTGATTGAAGATCAAGTCAGATGAATAACGTATGAATTTTATATACCTCGAGTTGAAAGACCTACTGACTTGGCACACAGTCGGGCCTGACCAACTCTAGTGCATTTGAGTCTACTCACCCAAGGCGGCAAACCCTGCAGTTAGCAAATAAAAAATTTATACTAATATATAAAGTTTTAAGTAGAGAAATAGAAGAAGGAAAATTGTTTCATGGGGTTTGGATCGCATTTCTACAATATGTGGTCCAAAACATCCATCTTAAAGATAGATCCAAATAGGTAGCCCATCTAAAACAAGTGTAACTAAGAGTCCAAATGTTTTTTTAATATAATTATTATTTCTAGTTTTCAAATTATTATTATTATTATTTCATATTCATGATTTTCATGTTAAATATTATATATTCTCTAATATTAGGATCAAATTATATTTAAAATATATATTTATTGCCAAGCCCGTATTTCTATAATATGCGCGCTGACTGCATAGAAATCGTGTCCATAGAAGAATAGGGGAAAGGAAAAAAAAAAAAATATAAAAAATATTATAATGACAGCTTTGCACTGCAACAGTGCACTCGGCCAATTTTTAGAACAAATCGCCGATTAATACACCAATTAGATGATTAGTGTCCGATTAGTGCACTGAAAAAAAAAATTTCTGCATACATGACCATTGGAATCGAGCCATATCAAGATCGACCAGTGACCGATGACGAGTTAGTCGGCCGATCTTTTAAACGCAGGTTTATCTCTATAGTTTTAAAATATTTTCTCCCTAAAACTTAAATTTTGAGATAGATTTTCTTTCTAAAAATTTTCCGATAGTTTTTGTATTTAAAATTTCATATAACTCTAATCTCTAAAATTTTAATATGCGTCTCCCAAACTTAAATTTGAGATAATTTCTCTCTCTAAATGTTTTGAGATATTTCTCTCTAAAAAAATTCTAGTTCCTCTCTCTAAAATTTAATATAATTTCTTTCTCTAAAATTTTAAAATACTTTCTCTCTCAAAAACTTTAGATTTGAGATAGTTTTCCTCTCTAAAATTTTAATATACTTTTTCTCTCAAAAACTTAGAATTTGAAATAATTTCTCTCTCTAAAATTTTAATATGATCTCTCTAAAACTTCAAATTTGAGATAATTTCTCTCAATAAAACTGAAAAGTTTCTCTCTATAAAACTAAGTCTCTCTCTAAAAAATTTCGTATACTTTTCTCTCTCTAAAATTTGATATAGTTTTTTTCTCTAAAATTTTAATATATTTTCTCTCTCTAAAATTTGATATAGATTCCCTCTTTAAAATTTTGATATTTTTTTGTTGTTCGACAGCAAATTGGTCATTTCAATGAAATGTCAATTCCAACTATTTTGGTATAATTGAGATTTCCAAAATTTATGTTTAAAATGAGCATTAAGGAATCCCACGGAAATCTCAAATGGAAATGTCAATTCTAAGTGAACCAAACACGATTGGCCCAGCTTTTCCACAAAAAGTGACTCCTAGATATTTGAATTTGACTCCTAGAAATTTGAATTTGAATTTGAATCCAAGGAACCAGCCCTAATGGAAGAAGAAATTCCAATTGATTGGAAATCAAACCAATGCACATTTTCCCTTTTATGATAAGAGACATTCACTCTTAATGAAATCCATCCATACTGTCTTGTTTGGGACTCATAGAACATTCAAATAGGGGTTATGTTAGGCTTATATATACTTTTATATATACTTTTTATATAAGAGTATTTCATTAATGTGCTCAATATTTTTGGACACTAGAAGACATTTTTATCTAGAGGTATTTAATGCAAGTCTTCAATGGCAAAGTAAAAATTCATAATAATAAAAAAAATATTTATTAATTATAGTGGATAATGACATCATCCACATGTTGTATGACATCACCACATAGAATATATATTCTAGTTTCTTATAAAAATATACTCTTAGTGACCAAAAGTACATTTACTAAAAAAAATTGTATTATAAAACAAAAGTATATTAGTCTCCAAATTTTATTGAGTATAATTATAAATGCTCTATAGACTAATATAGCCCTTACTCATGCATATAAGTATGTTTTTAAAGTACTCAATATTTTTAGACACTAGCTACCCTTATTCTACTATATAAATAACTTTTTGTCTAGAGGTGCTCTATAAAAGTAATTAATTAGCGATAGTAGAAATTCTTCAAAAAAAGATAAATATTTATTAATTATAGCAGAGTATGCCTAACTTCAAGAAAAATTAGAAAATCACAAAAACAAAATACACCCAATACAAAACAAAGACCTGAAAACAAATGTTGGTTGAATGTTATAATGTGGATAAGAATTATTTTTGGAGTAAACGGATAAGAATGATACCACAAGGTTCTATAAAAACACTCATCTCAAAAATCAGATCAACTCCAACCATGGAAAATAGAAACATGAGAAACGCCTGGTTTAATCAAAAGGTTTGGTCCAGAAAGAGGCAGTAATCATCACAAGTTTCTTTTAAATCCATGGCTTCGGAGATCAAGTCCGCCTTTTCCTTGGACTGTTAGGCTGGGAGGTCTTAGGAATTGGTTCCGAAGGAGACTCTGGACCATCAGTTTGAGGCTTCTCACGCCATGGAGTGTGGAAAAATTTCTTGTTAGAACCAACATGTGTGCAGAGAAGTTTAAGCATCTTCCTTCCTCTCATCCATTTTAGCAGTATCTTCATGTGGGTCTTGCTGTTCAATCCATTAATACCGACCTCCTAATTAAGAGGACAACAGATTCTATTCACTAGCAAAAACCTTATTTCAATCACTAACATATGATGATGGTATCCATGCTGAAAAACATGCAGCAATGAGGGATATGCATGGGCAATAATCTATAAATTAAGGACCAATAATAGCCTGCTTTGAAGATTCTATTATGACCTCTCCTATTTGGCATAATCTACAGAAGCAAACAAAAACATTTAAAAATATGTAGACTCCCATTAGAAGCCAAAAAACAAAGATACATCTGTCTTCCTGTTCTACATAAGACAGCGCCCAATCATAATAAATACTACAAGCCTCTTACTGTAATCATTTACCTTCTTTGAAATTCTTTATATATGCAGAAGTCCTATTTTCTCAAGAAAAAGACGAATCCTCTATTAATTAGACATCAAATGTTCTTTCAAATGGAATAACCAAAAAAACTTGTTCCACATTTCTTTAAATATCTCTATTACGCAGAGAAACCCGTTCTTTGACATCTTTTACAGATATTCTCTCATCATGTGAGATAAGACAGCGCCCAATCATAATAAATACTACAAGCCTCTTACTGCAACCATTTACCTTCTTTGAAATTCTTTATATCAAATGCACAAGTCCCATTTTCTCAAGAAAAAGACGAATTTATCCCCTACTAATTAGACATCAAATGCTCTTTCAAAAGGAATAACCAAGAAAACTTGTTCCACATTTCTTTAAATATCTCTATTACACAGAGAAACCCATTCTTTGACATCTTTTAAAGATATTCTCTCATCAAGTGAGATAAATGCATAGATTTCAGAAATGGAAAATATGGAAGTCATGTACAGCATTATATTTTGTTAGTCTGTTTCAGTTCAATTGCGTATGCTTTAAGCAACACATCAGCTTCTTCAAAAATTTACACATTAGATCAAAGGACTGAGCATTATCGTGCACATGTTTTAACTAAAGCTCCTAGTGTATACATATTTGCATACAGAGCTCTTGGTATAAATTGAGTGTTGCCTAGATGGATGCCATTGAATTCAATCTGTAGAGCACAAAGCTCAGTTTATATGCCCCTCACTCCACCCTAGATGGATGCCATTGTATTCAATCTGTACAGCACAAAGCTCGGTTTATATGCTCCTCACTTCACCATATGTTTACAGTAATATGTTTATTTGGTGGTGAATCAGTAAATAAGAACCAGTAACACGGAATTCTTTAATTGGAAGCCATAACCAATAACAACAAGACCATATGAGATAATGCTATTAAAACACAGGGCAGTGATGTGCACGGAGGAAAGTTGGAGCATTGAGTAGAACAATCTTATAAAAGAGCAGAAAAGGGTAATTCAGTAAGTATCATAAATAAAATATAAAAGATAAAGGCACAAACTTACATGAAATAGAAAACCTAAACAAACTAAAAGCAATATCAAAAACAATAGTCCAATAATATGATGCGCTGAATTACTATAGAAGCTAATGAACTATATACAATACGCTCAGATTACGACATATAAGACATCCTAAGACACTTTTATATCCACATTAATAAGTAATAACCAGTGTGTAAGGTAGTTTCAGCTGCTAGTGCTTCCACCATGTTGGCCCTGGCAGGTAATGGTCATGTTTTTCCCACACCCTCCCTCAGCTGGCTCAGCAGAGCAACCTGGTGTACTCCAAGCTCAAGCATTGAAAAGCTCTCATGAAGCCCTTTAAGGAGCCGCTTTTAGTATAGGACATCGTATTTTAGATATTCAGGTTATCAAAGTCGTCAGTGATTTTTGGCAGACTACAGCTGATCACTTGGTGGCTTTCTGAAATTTTTGTTCAAATTTATTTCTCTAGATAAATGCATTATGCACAATCAGAAATTTGAGAACACTTAATGTAAATGATAGGTTTCCAAAAGAAGCGACAAACACGTTCGTAGAGTTTCTAATGCTCTACAAATTTCATAACTAATGGAGAATGTTGCCCAAAATTGGATGGTTCAAGACATCGTCAAAAGGTCCTCAATTTTCAGGGCGATCTTCAAGGATGTGTGAATCATTGGCCCCATTTCATTAGCAGATCAGTGGTGACATTTAGAAAGAATTGGGGTGCATTAGGGCTTAGGCAAGGAAAGTGGTGGAACTGTTGGGAAGTCGCAAGAGAGGAACTTATGGAAGAGAGGTGTCTGAATCTGTCAAGAAAAGAAGAGTGAGCTGAATGAATAAATGAGAACATGAGGAGCCATAGGCCTCAAAATTGACGAGCAAATGGAGGAAATAAAGGGCCTATTACATTCATGGGAAAGTGGAGAGGACTGTGAGGTAGTGAAAGAGGGAAGACCAAATGCAAAGAGAATAAGGAATTAAGAGAAGGAAAGGAAACAGGATACTAAAAACCTGGTATCCTCCGAAAACTCTGAGAAATCCAAAGCAAAAAAAAATAAGGCAGCTGGGAAGCAGTGGTAAGACGGGGGTATGTTTTAATTGACTGCCAAAGAAGAGGTGACAGGGGCTCAATGAGAGCCCGGGAATGAATGAATTTGTTAAAAAACACATAGAGTGAGCATGTTTCCAAATCCAGAATAAAGCTGGAAGAAGTGATATCAAGTTCTGATGGTGTTATGGGAAAAAGGAAAGTAGAAGAAGGTGAAACTTCTGGATAATGGCTCGTCAAGTGGTTTTGTAATGGTGCCGGATGGAAGTTCACTACTGAAAGTGGAACAAATGATAGGGAAAATTACTCTTACAATTCTTCACCCCTAATGGTCCAGCCCAAAAGAATAGACTTTAGGCAGGACAACCTTCAATGCGAAGTCAGCAGGTGAGTCCTTGATGTGCTAGAGGGTATTTAATAAGAGAAGAAAGGTAGAGGAGATATTAAATAACATGGATGGCTTCTTGGAGAATGTAGGGGCATCATGAGTTGATCGATCTCCAGCTTTGTGGTGTTAGATGTGCATGTTCGCATAAGTAATAAACGAGGGACTCAAAGTTGACAAGGCTGCATGGCTTCCCTTTTACTGCCAATTAGGGAGTTCATCCTTCCAATATATCACAACATGCACTCCCTACACTTGTCTCCCACCACAACAAGTTCTTGTTGAATGACCAATAGAAAAAAAGAAACACAAGATCTTGCTGAATGAATCAGCAAGTTGGGAGATCACTATTTGTCAGTTTGGCTCTAAAAATATGTGAATGGCTCCCAACCTCATGCTATTGATAGACACTAGGGTTTTAGCACCTAAGGAGGAGACATAGTAAGGTAAAGAATTCAAAAGAAAGTTTTGTGACCCAGGAGAAACTGAGGTGCGGAAAACTTAAACCCTTGCAAAATTATCAGACTTGGAAAGGAACAAAACAAGTCCCACTTAACTAAAGAAAAAAAGGTTTAAAATGGCGGGTTCAACAGAACATACTAAGATGGGAAGACACTAGCTAGCACAAATGATCAAGAGACAAGCGGATAAAGGAGAGGTACACAGTATGAGGTCCTTCCATAAGATCACTATAGCAAGAAGAATCATGCAAGTGGATGGGCAGTTAAAGAGGATGAAGGGGGCAGCCATGTGGTCATAAGATTCTTACAAAAGTTATATTGGACTGGAGGCAAGTAAGAAATTGTGGCTAGATGGACTCACAATAATTGCATTCCAGAAAGGTAAAGTGGCTGAACCACAGCTTTTGAAGAGTAGGAGGTTCATACGACAACATTTGCTTCGATTTAGGATTAAACCCAAGGTCATAACCAAGTTGACCATGGCTATTACTCCAAAAGTTCTAGGATGTGTCAGGCGACACCTATGGGAGAGTGGTTCTACAAATTACACATCACAACTCAGAAGGAACCAAATTACACATCACAACTCAGAAGGTACATATGACAAGGAAACAACAATTGATCATCACTTTTTGAGGTGTAGGAGGTTCATAAGGAAACTTGCTCACTCTATGACCAAGTTACCAAGTACCAACTACAAATTGCATGAGATAGCACATGACAAACAAAAGGCATTCATGATTTTTTACCTATAAATTTAGTAAGTAGTTTGTACATAAGCCGTTGATCTCTCCTTAAAGATAACAATGATACCTTCTTACATAGTATCCCTCTATAAACGACTGTCAGATTTGGACCAAGACAATACTCTGCATATGAAATACACATTCCGTGGGAGAGGGGGGGAGGGAATATGATTAGATGGAAGAGCATTTTGGTTATTTGGAATTTGAGGATTGGGATAGAAGGATGCATAGGATATAGCTAGTGTTTCCTCGACCCACTTCCTATTTTGCCGAACAGGACTCCATGGTGATATTTAAGACGATCTAAGTCATTAAGGCAAGACTACGTTATCCCATTTCTCATTCACCCTCAATGCATAAGAATTTTAGTTGCATCAACATAAGGCATCCAATGTGGAACTAACTGTTCAGATTTTTTTGCTTTTCTTTTTGCGTTTATTTTTTTGGCAACAAGATTATATTTTGATAAAAGCATATATGAAGTGATAGAAAACTCGGCTGGGTCCACTTGGACTGGACTCCACAAAGTAACTTAGACTTGGTCCCTAGCCAAAATAACAAAAAGTATACAAATTACATTAATTTGTATAATCAATGTATAAATATTTTAGATATAATTTAATGTGTTTTATGATGATTTGTGAGTTTTTCTTGTCATATGCCATATTTTTATACTTCCTTTTTTCTTTTCTTTTTTTTAAGAAAGTTGACTTTTAATGTAAAGAAAATGTGCAAGAATTTGCTTCCAGAAACGGAAGCTATATACAGCAAAAAATGGTTAGCCAACAGACTGGAAGCACTATACGACACCCATGCTTAGTGGGAAATCGAAAGCAAAAGATAGTTGCTGACCCACTTGCCCAGGAAATGATGTTACTTTAGTCACCTTCTACTGTCAAGACTGAGTCCCAGTTGTGATCAGAAAGTTCGAGGCCTTCACAGAGTGCAAGGGCTTCAGCAGTTTGGGTGTCAGCAGTGCTTGGAGAAGGAAATGAGGACAGAACCCTCATGATCCCTAAAAAGTCCTCCTATGCCTATGGGACCTGGGTTGCCTAGGGAGCAGCCGTCAAAGTTAAGCTTAACGTGACCAGGTTCCGGTGGTCTCCAAAGAGAAGAGCGAGGTATTTGATGCTGGCTGAGGTTGAGTTAGGTCCGCCACTGCCACTCCAACAATAAATTCCTCCAACAATAAATCATTTCTACATTCAACTTTGATATATTTTTTCCCAACTTATTTGTTCGTTTTATGTTGCTTTATTTTTAGCTTGCTTCTCACTTTTTTATTTTATTTTCAACAATTTGTTTTGGCTGTTTTGGCCCTACACTAGTCGGATGAGCGCATTGGGAGTCACTCGAGTTATTCTGGGCTCAAGCAGGGCCCAAGTCCCAAGCCCGAGCCGAGTTTTTTAACCTTACATAGATGGTCGAACATTAGGAATAGATGACAACTAAATGTCCAAGACCCATAAAATTCAAGCTCCTCGGTTTCCTCTAGAGAGAGCAAACTCAATACAACCTACAGTGAAAATGTCTACACACTATCCAAAGCACATTAAACTCGATACCAAGGGCCCCAACCACCTGAAAAATCAAGTAGTCTCTTTTGGCCAACAGCGTAATTATGAGGATAAGAGGCAAAAGAAGAAAGAGCATTGAGACACATTTCCAATGGTCGATCGCCTAAATAGTAGTAAAGGCAATGACCTCAAGCTTTTCAGGGATAGGAAGAATTAATCAGCACTACTAGCAATCTCTATGGATAATTGGACCAAATCAACTTTAAAACTATTTTGCCTGGCTATGAACAAATCCCAGGCTATGAACAAATCCCAGTACTTTTGATCTAGAACCCAAACTCAACAGACTAGATTGCCATTGTGCAACTATTAAGCGATCTCCATATGCCATCCCATATAAAATAACAATATCTAAGTTAAATAAGTTAGAAGCAGACACATTGAAACCCAAACCTATATGCACATGTATAGTATAGAGAGAGAGAAGCATAATATCATTAATCAAAAATGCTAAAATAACTTTGCTAAACTGGAGAGAGGGACAGAGAGAGAGGCATAGCAGCATTAGCCAAAAATGCTAAATATGAGTTTGCTAACTGAAGAGATAGTGAGAGGGAAAGGGTTTCGACGGAAGCACTCGATAAAATTGGAACGATAGAGAGAAGATTGCATAACCCTGAGAATTCAGAAGAGAGGGAGGGTTTAGGGTTTCCGTTATTTGTACCTACCTTTGCATGATCCCAAGTGCTTCCTACAGTCAAAGGACCGCGTTCCTTAAAGACTTGCAGCAGGTCTTTTGCGATGGCGTCAGCCTCGGAATAGGGCACTTTTGGGTTGATCTTCTTCAGGTCCGGCTGCCGTTTCCTTGAAAAGTAACGAACTAAACCAATGCCCCTGAACATTTTCTTCTCCCTCTCTCTCCTCTTCTTCTTCTTCAACTGCTTTGGGCTTTCGTTCTTTCTTTTTTCTTTCTCTTTTTCTTTTTCTTTCTTTTCCTTTATTGTTTTTCTCTTCCTCACGACAGTGGCAGTTACAGCTCACAAGAGAGTGGAGGAAATGGGTCTCATCCTCACTCAAACCAGAATGACTTCCAAGAGCCTCGTTCTTAAAAACAGACCACCATAAGGCATAATGACTATGATCCACATTACACGATAAATCTGTGGTCATAACTCGTAAACATATATTTAAGTTCAGGGGTGGCCGAGGTGGCCCTGCCCAACCCAGCCCAATCAGCCTGGCCCAAAAAATATAAGCCGTGGGGCACAGAATATGGCTGAGGGCGAAGCTAGGGCCGTAAAACCACGGCCTAATGGTAGGATCGAGCTTGGGTCAATCTTTCTATTTTTTTTAAAAAAATTATTTTATATTTTTTCTTTTTTTTTAATCCCGATCCAACCCACCCCTAATAGGGTTAGACTGGGCTTGGGTCAGTTCTTCTTTGACATGTTCAAGGCCAAGCCAAGCCTTATGGGGAGTAGAGCTGACTTGGCCCAAGCCCAGCCCCAACCCCTGCCCTTTGCCAGCCCTAAGTTATTACAAAGGTATGTGTGCTGCATAGGTCTGAATAGGTCTATTTTTTAAAAAGACTTAAGTTTTTAAAAAGCGAATCGGCGGGTCGGCGAATCGGCGATCCCGATAGGGAATCGGCTGAATAGGTCTGATAAAACCTTAAAAAAAATCTGAAAAAATTATTAAAATTCATTATAAATGTTGTTTTTTAGGAATTCAATAAGAAATGAGGATACTCCATTAAGAATTTTCATTTCTTTGCATGAATATATGAATATTGATATGTTCTTTCCCTGTGTGAACTACTATTTACCATTTAATTTACATCGCACAAAAGGATAAATATAGAATTATCATGGATTAAGTATATCATTATACATGGACTACAATAAAACATACAACTCGTAACATACGATCTAAAAATAAAATGACAGACGATCTAAAAATAAAATGACAGACGACGCCGTTCTTCATCTTGGTCACGCTGGTGCCATTGATTGAATTCGTGTGACAATTCATTGACTCATTCTAAAAACGAATCATCCAAATTAGTGGGCACCTGACTATACGCAAATCCCTGAGTGTTAGTGTTTTGTTGTGGTCCTAATCCAAAATCCCCGAAGTTGGTCCATCCTTCATGGTCACCTACACTATCGTGTTCATCCCTACCCTCTTGTTGTTGGGACTCGATATGTAAACAAGTTGGCTGGGATTGGGTGGCCTTAGAATCATCATCTCTATCATTTTCCCTTAGACCCCCTTCCCACTCTCCCTCATTAGGTACAATATCAGCGACATCTCCGACGAATTGTGGATATGTTGGCGAGTTGCTTCTTCTTTCATGCTGCTCATCACCTTCTTCAAAATCTTCCTCACCGATAGCCTCAAGGATTGCTCTCTTGTGTAACACTGGCTCCTCTTCTTCTACTGCCCATATTTCTGATATGTTTGTAACAAATATTGTATCCAAGTCTATCGGCCCATAATATTCAAGCTTCCTTCTTATTTGTAGCTATCGAATGTTTAAGTTGTAATGAATGTAGTGAGTCGATTCCTCCTATTAGTGTGCAACTATTGAAACGTACTCCAGTTTTGCTCACAGCCAGTAGCAGAACATCCAGTTTTGCTCACAGCCAGTAACAGAACATGTCTGGGAGAGCACCTTGATTGCTATCTCTCTTTAGGTGAGGTGCATCACTACTATATATCTCTCACCATTCAACTGGATTAAAATGCAAAAAGCATTGTAAGGGTTAAAACAATTCATAAGATTAAATATATGAATGAACAAAATATTAGTTAGGGGATAACCTGGATCCATCTTAGTTCGAAAATTCTTAGCAAGTCTAGTTCTGAAGAATCCTATAGCATCCCTATACATAGCAAGCTAAAACAAAATATTTCGTTTTAGTGCATTATTCCTTACAAATATAACAACTCAATCAAGTTTTTACCCAAATATTAAATAATATTTCTTGTATTGCTGCTACCTAGTTTCGATGGCTTCTCTCCAACCTAGCAATAATGTATCTAACCCCTTCCATAATCTTGTGGGGATGTTCAGGTGTCAAATAGAAAAAATTTGGGTGGAAGTAGTAACCTAGAAAATATATAGATAGAGAAATGTCATTTAAAATTTCATAAAAAAATAATTTAGAATGAAACATTCTAATGATATAAATATATATTTACCTGCATAATGAATTGGACGTCCAAATTTGGCGTTCAACCTTCTTTTTATAATCTCGATCACTTTACTAGCAAAACTACACTTCTCCCCAATAACTGATTTGACCCTTTCGATACC